GGGCTCGTTCCTGCAATAACTTCCTGCCTCCCTTCTTCCGCCTTCAGTTGGGCTGCATAGAGTTCCTCCTCAAAGGAGGAAAACCCTCACGCCGCTTCCGGGGGAGGAGGAGGGCGGCGGCCATTGGGGCTGACGGCGGAGGGAGGGGGAAGGCGGGAAAATCGCCTCTCCGGGAGGAGGGCGCCCGGGCCCGGCCGCTGGCGCCGCGCTGAGAGGTCCGCAGCGGAACGGCCGCTCTGGCAGGCGGCGGGGCGCCGCCTTTTCAGTCAGCCAGTTCTGAGTCCACCTCGCTGACTGCTCATCCAGCTCAGGCATCCACAGCTTGGCTGTGAGCATCGGAGGAGAGGCGGTGCCCACGGCCTTAGAGAAGTCCAGGTAGACAGTTTCCATTGCTCTCCTCTCATCTACCAGGCCAGTCACTTTATCATAGAAGTTTATCAAGTTGGTCAAGCGTGACTTTCCCTTGGTAATGCCACACTTACAACTCCTGATGATTTTCTTGACACCAAAGCGCTTGGAAATGGTTTCCAGGTTTAACTGTCCCGTCACCTTCCCAGGGATCAGAATGAAGCAGACCAGCCTGTAGCTCCATGCGTCCTCCTTCGTGCCCTTCTTGAAGATGGAGGTGGCCTTTGGTTTCCTCTAGTCCTCAGGCACCTCTCCTAGTCACCACGATTGATCAAAGATTATTGAGACTTGCCTTGCAATGGTATCTACCAGCTCCCTCAGCACTCATGGCTGCATCCCATCAGGGCCCGTGGACTTAGCATGTCCAGTTTGCGCTGACCTGGTCCTCTTCCACCCGGGGTACATCTTCCTTACTCCAGCCTCTCCCCTTGGTCTCTGGGACCTGGAATTCCTGAAGGCTGGTCTTGCCAGTAAAGACAGGCAAAGAAGGCATTCAGTAACTCAGCCTTTTCCCTATCCTGTGTCACCAGGTCACGCGTCTCATTTAGCAATGGGCTCACATTTTCCTTAGTCTTCCTTTTGTCACCTATGTACTTACAGAAGCCATTCTTCCTGTCTTTGACATCCCTGGCTAGATCCAATTCCAGTGGGGCTTTAGCTTTCCTAATTTCATCCCTACATGTTTGAACAATGTTTCTGTATTCCTCTCAGGGTACCCATCCTTGCTTCCATGCTTTGTATGTTTCCTTTTTGTGTTTGTGTTTGACCAGGAGCTCCTTGTTTGTCTACACAGGCCTCCTGGCACTTTTATCTGGCTTCATGTTCCCTGAAATGAACAGCTCTTGAGCTCGGAGGAGTTGATCCTTGAATATCAACAAGTTTTCTTGGGCCCCTCTTCCCTCCAGGCCTTATCCCATGGGACTCTCCCAAGCAGATCATGCTTTTTACACTCCTCCCTCCCCTCATGATCCTGAGCTCCACCATCTTGTGGTCACTTGAGCTTCACATTCCCAACAAGCCCTTCATTGTTGGTATGACGTCCAACAAAGTACTGCTCTTCGTTGGTCTTTGTTGGCTGTGGGAAACTACAGCTGGTCTGTGGATCCCAGGACAGAAGATAAGAAATTGACCTTGGAGAGATTGCTGTGTACCCCTGATGATTTGGAAACTCCCTGAACAGAAGAAATGGAAACAACTTGCAGGTGCTGAGAGAGCCAGGGAACCGTAAGATAAGGAGGAACTGTAAGATAAGAAACTGGACTGTGTTTTTGCACTAATTGCATGATGTAATGAATTTGGCTTGCATTATATAGAGCACGTGATCACCAATCATGTATTAGGCGAAGGTGCGTGAACAGCTGTGGGTAACCAGTGACCTAATTGCTTGTGTTGCGTGCACTGTTAGAATTAGCATAAAAGTGTACTGGAACCTGCAAGAGTTAGATGGAAATAGTTATACAATAAATATACACACACTGATGAATACTACTTGAACCTGTGTATGTCGTGTCCGTCTCAACAGCGACATACAGCGACATCTGGTGACCCCGACGTGATACACCAGGACACAAACTTTTTGACTGCAGGGCGGAGTGCGGTGGAGACTGAGCCCAGCGTAGCTTGAGAGCAGCGGGGAAGCTGCGAATTGATCCGGATTGACTTAGGCACCTGAAAAGGTGAGCCGCTGGGAATGGGACAATGGGGGATAGCCTCAGAAAGGAGGAGGAAGCTGTCCTTTCTCTGTGGACACTAATATTGGAAAGAAAAGGACTGAAAGTGACTAATAATAACCTCAAAAAAATGTTGTTGTGGGTGCAGCAACAAGGGCTTGAAGCGAACTCTGCCACAGCATTCAGTTTGTCAGTTTGGCAAGCCCTAGGGGAGAAACTATTCGATGCTGCTTCTCGTGGGGCAAGAGATGCTGCAGACTTATTGACAACGTGGCGATCACTTTTAGAGGCTTTGAAGGACTTGATGTCTGAGCGTGATAAAGCAGAGGATAAGATGGACTCTGTTCTGATAACCTCCTCTGCAGTAAACGAGGTTGTGGGAGAGACTTCTGAAGTGAATGATAGCTCAGCTGGGAGGTTACCACCTGTGCTTAAGCTGAGAAAAAGATTGCTGAAACCTGTTTGTTTAGTGGAACTGGCCTTCCGGGGAACGTACGTATCCCCCGCAGAACAGCTAAAGGCAGCGGAAAAATCCTCAGGAACGTATGTGTCCCCTGCAGAACAGCTAAAAGCAGAGGAAAAATTTACTCCCTACAAGTTGCCTTGACAGCAGCTGCAAGAGGCAAAAGAAAAATATGCAACTTCTGAGGTTGAAACATGCCCTCTCCCTTCTCCGTTGAATTCCTCTGATATTGAGGAGACAGAGTATGAACAAATACAGGATCAGTTATATCCCCCTTTACCAGAGAGTGATGGAAAGGATGATCCTATGAGAGATTTTGCTGAGATACCCACTATTTCTGCAAAGCAGGCAGGAAAACAGGGGGGTCTACCGTGTCGGCTTCTCTTGGGTGGAGGTCATGGGTATTGCCACCTGCTACAGTGATAGTTCAGCCACATAATGCAGTACATTTTTGGGATGTGGTTAGGAAAAAAAGCAATGGAGGTTGGAGACTGGGACTTGACTGAAGCACTGGGGGCATCGGTCAATAAGGATCCACCTGTGATGGAAATAGAGGGAGGACCTAGTGCATTCCCTGTGGAGTTAGCCCTCCCGGGTTCTAATCAGCCCAATCAACATGTGGGATGGTCATGGAGAGTTATGCAGGATATGCAGAAGGCAGTAGCCCAGTATGGACCGAATTCCCCAGCAGTAATACAATTGTTACAATTATTGAACTTAGAGGTATTGGTGCCCTATTATTTTCAACATTTGTCTCAAATTGTGTTTCAGCCAGTACAGCACTCAGTTTTTATGAATGTTTGGAGACAATGGGCCGATCATCAGGCATTGCAAAATATGCAATTGCCCCAAGGTGACCCTTGTCATGGTGTAGGTACTGACGTGTTGATGGGAACTGGTCAAGTGTTTAGTAACCGGACAACTCAAGCACAGTGGCATTCCCAAATTCTTGTGCAAATTAAGCAAATAGGGATGCAAGTTTTAATGCGCACGGCAGAAATGGTGGAGCCTAAGGCAAGGTATTCATCAATTAAACAAGGGGTCAGGGAACCTTTCTAACCATTTGTGGAAAAGTTGCAAGGGGCTATAGAAAAACAAGTATTTGACACCAATTTGCGAGCCCTGTTAACAAAACAGTTGGCGAAAGATACTGCCAACCCTGATTGTCGGAGAGTTATTGAGACATTACCAGGGGATCCGTCTTTAGAGGAAATGGTTACTGTGTGTGCTAAAGTTGGGTCTGTAGAGCATAAAATGGCTGCACTGGCCACCGCCCTAGCTGCCTTGCGTGTTAAGGAGCAGAAGTGTTACAGATGTGGAAACCTGGGACATATAAAATCAGAACGCCCAGAACTGAAAGGTCAGAAGCTGACAACAAATGCCAGAAAAGTTAATGGCTCAGTAACAGTTACTTGCCATAAATGTGGGAAAACAGATCATTTTGCTAAACAATGTTGATCAAAGTTTTATACTAACGGTCAGCCATTCCGGGAAACGGCAAAAAGAGCACGAGGGGGCGTGCACAGACACAAATGCCCTACAGTCCTGGCAACCCCTTTGCGGGAGCAATGCAGCATCCGCAGGCCAATCCGCAAACTAGTGTGAGAAATTATGAGGGAAAACAGTCAGAGCTGCCGGGATGGATCTATCCACCACCAACACAGTAACAATAAATAACTGTCAAATTCACCAAGTGCCTTTGGATGCATGGGGACCAATCAGTAAAGGACTTGGTGCTCTATTGATAGGACAATCAAGTGGCACTTTGCAAGGGTTGATAGCGCACGTAGGACTGATTGATGCTGGTTATACAGGACAGATCTGTGCTATGGTATCTACTGCAACACCACCAGTAACCATTACTAAAGGGACTCGAATTGCTTAACTTATGCCTTTTGTGAGTTGTGTTCCTAGAACAGAGCAGACTGTTCGCGGCCACAACGGATTTGGATCTACGGGGTAACCATCTGTTTTTTGGTCCCAGACTGTCACCGACAAGAGACCACAAATGATGTGCACACTTACAATGGATCACGCAACCCCATCGCAGACAAAACTAATGGGTTCGTTGGATACAGGAGCTGATGTCACCATCACTGCGCAACATGACTGGCCTTATACCTGGCCTTTAGTGTTGAATAATACGGGAGTAATGGGTCTTGGGGGGCTTGCTAACAGTTTTATGGCTGCCAAGCCTGTCTTTATTAGTAACCCTGAGGGACAGAAGGCCACTATTAGACCATATGTGATCACAGCACCCTTGAATTTGTGGGAGAGGGACTGTCTTGGACAATGGAGAGTGAAAATTACAATGGATTTTTAGTAGGGGTCACTGTGCTGCAAGGCATAACACAGCCCGCACTGGCATTAACATGGTTAACAGAAAAGCCTGTTTGGGTGGACCAGTGGCCCCTCAGTCAAGAAAAACTCACAGCCCTTCACCTTCTGGTTAAAGAGCAATTGGCTGCAGGACATATAGAAGCCTCTCACAGCCCTTGGAACACACCTGTGTTCGCGATAAAAAAGAAATCAGGAAAATGGTGTTTGTTGCATGATTTAAGAAAGGTCAATGAGATGATGGCAACAATGGGGACTTTGCAACCAGGGTTGCCCTCACCAACTGTGATTCCAATGCAATGGGGAATTGTAGTAATGGATTTAAAGGATTGTTTTTTTACTATTCCTCTTGCTAACCAGGACATGGAGAAATTTGCGTTCACAGTGCCTTCAGTGAATAACAGTGAACCAGCCAAAAGGTATCATTGGAAAGTTTTACCACAAGGTATGAAAAATTCACCCACTGTTTGTCAGTGGTTTGTAGCGAAAGCCTCGAGCCGTGTTCAAGCTGCGTTTCCATCAGGGTATTGTTATCGTTATATGGACGCCATCTTACTAGCTGCACCCTCGCAGGTAATGCTAGCTGAAATGGAGGCTGAAGCACAAAAGTCATTACAATACCATGGATTGGTGATTGCCCCAGAAAAAGTGCAACGCCAGCAGCCATGGTTGTACCTGGGTATGAAGGTGTTAGATCAAACGGTAATGCCACAACCAATTCGGTTGCAAATACACATAAAAACCCTAAATGATGTGCAAAAACTAGCAGGGATGATTAATTGGGTCCGACCTTATTTGGGGTTGACATGTTCCAAATTACAACTGCTTTTGGAGTTGTTAAAAGAGGACTCAGACATTTCTGCACCACGAGTTCTAACTCCAGAAGCAGAACAAGAGGTGGAACAGGCAATCATGCAAAAACATGTATGGAGAATTGATTTAACTGTACCAGTATAAGTGTTTGTTTTGATGATCTGATACCTTTTGCAGTGCTTGCACAATGGAATTCTGATTGGCAAGATCCCTTGCATGTTTTGGAATGGGCCCTTCTGCCCTTTAAAACTAAGAAAATTCCCCCTGGCCTTTTTGAACTTTTAGTTCAAATTATTATGAAAACTAGAGCTCGTTGTGTGGAATTGATGGCAAGAGATCCTGAGAACATTGTGATACCAGTACAAAGTGAATATTTTGAATGGTGCCTTGCCAACAGTTCAGCACTTCAAGCAGCAATGGCAAATTATACAGGTCAAATTAGTTATCGCCTGCCCTCACATCTGTTAATAAAAATGGGTGGCCAGATTCGATTTGCACAAAAACAATTAAGTCAGTCTGACCCTGTGCCTGGTCCCACAGTGTTCACTGATGGTTCAGGAAAAACAGGGAAGGCTGCCATTGCCTGGTATGATGGACATCAATGGCAGAACAGAGTGGAATACCAAGAAGGCTCTCCTCAGATTGTTGAATTGAGGGCTATGACTATGGTATTTCAGCAATTTTCTTGTCCTGTTAACATTGTTACTGATTCGGCCTATGTGGCTGGGTTAGTGCAACGGTTAGACAAGGCTGTCCTTCGTCGTGTTACTCAGGAAAAACTTTTTGGAATTTTAAAACTATTATGGACTGAAATTCAAAAGCGACACTCTCCTTATTATGTATTACGTATTAAGAGTCATATGACCCTTCCTGTTTTTTTGGTGGAAGGAAATGCAAGAGCAGATGCACTAGTATCAGGCGTGGCAATGGGACCTACTCCAAACAGTAAACAACAAGCTATTGCTTCTCATCAATTTTTTCATCAGGGCTATCGTGTCCTGAGACGACAATTTCGCTTGTCAAATGCTGAGGCTTGTGCTATTGTTGCTGCATGTCCTGACTGTCAAGGCCAACATGTCCCTCACTACTATGGGACCAACCCTAGAGGGCTGTGGGCCCTCCAGATCTGGCAAACAGATGTTACTCGTATTGCTGAATTTGGCAGATTAAGATTTGTTCATGTATCTATTGACACGTTTTCCTCGGTCATCATTGCTACTGCTCACGCGGAAGAAACTGCCAAATATGCCATTCGCCATTGCCATGAGCTTTTTCTACTGCTGGAGTCCCACATCAGATAAAAATGGATAATGGTCCAGCCTATTTGTCTGAAAAAGTTAATTCATTTTTACAGTTGTGGGGTGTGATTCATGTTACTGGTATCCCTCATTCTCCCACTGGACAAGGTATTGTCGAACGTGCTCATGGCACATTAAAACAGCTTCTGCAAAAACGAAAAGGGGGGATGGCAGCGGATCCTCCAGAGGCTCGATTGAACAAAACTATGTATGTCTTGAATTTTTTACAGGTTTCTGATGATTCTCAGGAACCCTCGATAATATGTCATTTTGATTCCTTAACCACCAACTGTGGGATGTCCCCAGGAGTCAAGCTTAGGGTTCGGGATCTACAGACCGGTCAGTGATCTGATCCCTGTGATCTGATAACCTCAGGACGAGGGTATGCTTGTGTCTCGACAGATGGTGGCCCCCGGTAGGTTCCTGCTCATTGTGTCCAGCCTGTGGTGGAAAGTTTACCTTGTTGAAGGATGGATGTTGGCTGAGTAAGCAAACCAGTGCTACATCAATAGCACTGAGTGATTTATTAACTGATGTTGATAGCGTTAGGCATGCTACACTGCAAAATAGAGCTGCAATTGATTTTTTATTGTTAGTGCAAGGACATGGATGTGAAGATTTTGAAAGAATGTGCTGTATGAATACACAGGAGCATACAGCTCCTGAAAGATGGAGTTAAGAAATTGCAAGCAGATGACGGATGGCACTGGCTGAACAAATTGTTCAGGGGATGGGGACTGGCTGGCTGGTTGTTATCATTGCTAAAAACAGGGTTGTTAATTCTGATTATTGTTGTAGTTGTGTTATTAATGTTGCCCTGTCTGGTCAGTTTGTTGCAAAGGGCCCTGCAGTGAACTGTCAGAGCAAATTTTTTTAGCACAAATACAAAAAGGGGGAATTGTGGGAAACTATGATGGGTTCGTGGATCCCAGGACAGAAGATGAAGAAATTGACCTTGGAGAGATTGCTGTGTACCCCTGGAGATCTGGAAACTCCCTGAACAGAAGAAATGGAAACAACTTGCAGGCGCTGGGAGAGCCAGGGAACTGTAAGATAAGAAACTGGACTGTGCTTTTGCACTAATTGCATGATGTAATGAATTTGGCTTGGATTATACAGAGCGTGTGATCATCAACCATGTATTAGGCGAAGGTGCGTGAACAGCTGTAGGTAACCAGTGACCTAATTGCTTATGTCATGTGCACTGTTAGAATTAGCATAAAAGCGTGCTGGAACCTGCAAGAGTTAGATGGAAATAATTATATAATAAATAGGCACACACCGATGAATACTACTTGAACCTGTGTATGTCGTGTCCGTCTCAACAGCAACATACGGCGACATTTCCCCTTTAATTCTCTTCCCCAATCCCCAGGGGGTGGAGAAGGGTTAGCGAGCAGCAACATGGTGTTTAGTTGCCGGGCAGGTTAAACCAGGACAGAACTTTTCAGCAGTAATTCACATAAATGGTTGCTGTGCAATGACCCATACAAGCATCCTCCTCGTATTGAAACAATACAGTTAAGGAAAAAAAAAATAGTTAAGGGAATTGCTCTGCAATCATGTCAGCATTTCCAATATGCTAACAAAACTCTGAATTCCAACATTTGTGTATTTCAGCTAATTCCTGGGAAAGCATAGGCTTCCCAGTTTGGGTCAGCTCAGGAAAGTTCTTAGGCAGAGTTTGTTTCATAGAGAAGAGAAAAGCTGTAGCCTGCTGGACTTCTTGGCTAATGGGCACATTCACTTTTGGTAGGAGAGTAGGCAATTTTTTTAAACACAGGCAGTAGATCGCTGAAGGTAGGAGCAGGCAAACCTAGCAGAGCAGGAACAGCTCACGGTCTGCTCTTCATGAGCTAAGATCTCCAAGTCCAAACCTCCAAACAAAGTCTGGGTATCCCGTAGGATGTGGAAGTTGTTTCTGAGCAGACTGTCTTTATGCTCAGTAATGCTCTCTAGCAACTAACTCCACATATTCATTATGCACCCTTAATTATTTTCTTTTATAGAATTTAAACATAATCCAACATCCTTGTTTCTCTCCTTGCTCCTTAAAGTGAGTGACTGCCTCTTTTACTATTGATTTCCCTCTTGTATCAACATTGTGTTCTGGCACTTGCTCTTGATATAGAAAATTTAGATATCTGGTGGTTTGGATTTGTTTTGACTCCTATCTATATGCCATAATAAGAGGGACATGAACTTGACATGCATTAAAAATCCTGATTTATTCACTGTATACTTTTTTCAGTAAGTTTATATCACATTCTTCACATATCTCAATACTCTTCTCTCGTTAGAAAATGAGTGTTCTTACTGAGCAGTTCATAATAAACAATGACCAAATTCTTTTCTATGGTAATCTTCAAATTCAATCTAAAATGTAGTAACAGAAACAAATAGTTCAAGTTTTTAGTTTTAATATTGCTTACCTTTTCAGTACTAAATCTCCAGTTACTAAATGCTGTACAGTCATACAGCTGTTAGGTTTTTCTTCAGCAGCTCTCAGCCTTTTCCAGTTCTAAGTAATGCAGATCATGTGTCCGTCACTTATATCAGAAGAATTTTACACTTCGTGATACCACACATTTTGACATCACAGATTTATTTTTTTTTAATGCAAATTTCGGGAGAAGCAGCATTAGACTGCTCTGGTCTCCTTTTCTGTTACTTCTCAAGTTTCTAATCTATGATTGTTTGGTCTTCAATTTTGTGTTCTCAGAGTTTGTGAAGGTCATTCTGGAAAACCAGTCGCATTTTCTTCCCTTTTGGTCATACTGCAAAGAGTATGGCTTTTCTGTTAACCGGGTAGTTGCATAAAAGCTATTTATCTTTTTTTATCTGGTGGGATAACATCAGTCCTGTACTTTAGGAGAGAGGAATGATTCTTTGCAGCTTGCTCCCTCTTTACCCTTTGGTAAAACATTAAAATGTCTCCTTCTCTAGGTTGCTCTTTTTGTCCAGAACACCCATTTCTATCCCCGGCCCATGCCTGGCAGTAGGCCCATCACCCTACCATGAAAATCCTCCTTTACTCTTTGTGGTGAGCTTTTGACAACTTACCTGGTCAGCAGAATAGAAGAGCACATAATACAACGTGATCTTCAGTGCTGCACCGCTGACAGGGAGAGTGACCACTCACGTTTTGCTCCATGTACCTCTCAAGTGCTTCTGCACCTCCTGAAGAGCAGGACAGCTGCAGCTGTGCACTATCAGCTGTGACTGCTTTAAGGTTAGAGAGCCCTTGTAAGGTGGGGCAACCTCTTCTCCAGTTAAAAATTACGAGCTTTATAGAAGCTGGCTTCAGAACAGTTATTAAATAAAACGGAAAAAACAGTGAGCGAGAGAAAAAACGAAACACCTTACATGTTAGCGATTGATGTAAGAAAAGGCCTAGAAGACAGTAAGGATGATAAAATAGAACTAAGTCATAGTAATGTTTTGTTTTATTTGATAGAAAGTTGCTTCAAAAATATGATTAACTATATACATTTTTATACGCTGTACATACAGGTACATATACAAAATGTACATAATAGCAAACTCCTTCTGTTACGTTTTATGTGTGGTAGTTAATAACGTGAAATAGAACTTATGTCATATTTCATACCTGCTTTCATCCTGATCCTATCTGCAAGAAACGGATAGGCATGAGAGATGAATAAATCTAGCAGATCGCTTAATTCATACCCCAGTCCAAACAAAGGTTTTCTCCACAGTGTGTTTTATTAGTGCACTGTTCTAATACAGTTAGGTTTGTAGTACTACCCTTCAGAGGTATTTGTCTGCTAAACTTATCTTCAGATTTTTTTCCCCAGCATTCACCCTAATACTGTTCCTAATTTATTTCTATAACTCAGATCTCGAGTTATAGAAATCCTCCTCAAGTCAAGCTGGATTTCTTCAACTTTATGGTTTGTTTCTTCTTTTCATCTCGATTCCTTAGTTGCTTGTTTGCCACATATGAAATTATAGAAGAGAACAGAGTAGACTGTTTCAGTTGGAAGGGACCTACAATGATCTGGTTCAACTGCCTGACCATTTCAGGGCTGACCAAAAGTTAAAGCATGTTATTAAGGGCATTGTCCAAATGCCTCTTAAAGACTGACAGGTTTGGGGCATTGACCACCTCTCTAGGAAGCGTTTTCTAGTGTTTGACCACCCTCTCAGTAAAGACCTCTTTGTTCTGGGAGGAGTACACTCAAGTGCAAAAGCTATAATCCAAGTGTTCTCTCCTTCCCATGCTACCAGCACACTGTAAATGTGGAATCAGTCAGCAAGGAAAGAAAAGTACTTTCCCTCCTCCTCCTCAAGCAATTACAGGGTGTGTGATGGCCGGCTGGTCCCTGGGACACGTAGTGTCCGATCTCAAGAGGAACTGGGCAGTTCCTCGGATTTTTCTAGTACTGATCCCATGAGGAACACTCTACCTCTCCACCTTCTAGGCAAGAGGTGGCATACCAAAATCGAAACACACGGAGCAGAGGCTGGCAACTTTGCCCTTTACTAGTCGCTTCCAAGAGATTGTCCTCCATTTCCTGACTGGAGGAGTCAAGCACCCTTATCTTACAGACCTGATGTTCAGGGAAGAAGAGAAAGTGGGAGCTGCCAAACCAGCAGGGTTCCAGCAGCAGAAGGCCTGTGAGAGAAGCCATGGCCTCCACAACCAAACAGGCTATCCTGGAGGACTCTTCCCTGAGCTAAGAGGGAACACGACCTCTTTCATTGCCTTTCAAGCTTTCAGAGGTTAAAAATGAGCTGCTGCTTTTTTGCAGACATCTTGAGAGCAGCGGTTTCATTGACCTAAGAATTTTTTCTTCTTTCCAGGTTAACAGCATCCTTAAATATCTATTTTATTTCTTCTCTGCTCATGTGGCCCTGTGCTTTTTAACCCTGTTCTGGTCATCGTCTTCATTTCACTAGGAAATTTTTCTGTTCTCTTTGCATACCTCTCTGTCTTTTTTGTATTCATATGCAATAGCTTTCTCTGATCGGTAAAGCGGTTTTCCATCAGCTGTCCAGGTGAAAGCAAGGGGATTAAGATTCTTTTTATACATTCTTTTGGCATTACTTTAAATAATGTTTTTTTCTAACTAAGGGGAACTCTTCATATATTCTTCAGAACAAGTTTATATTTTTTGAATTACCGTATAACATGCATATATTTAATAATATCTTAAAGCCAAAGATATTAATATGCCTTCATCTTTTTCTACGCTGTGGGATTTTAATTTATTTGAGAAAATGGTTCTCAGGCTTCTGTTCTACTTGCAGTATCTCTGTCCACTGTTGCTAGGCCCATTTTGATAGTATTTCTTTCTTGTTTTATAATACTCCTTAATCTCCGTTGAGAATTTGAACTGGCATGAAATACCTTCTGTTATTCTTTGTCTGAATTCCTGAGAACCTGTCCGCAACTCTGGCTGGGAGAGGGCGCTGGTGAGCTTCTGGAGAGATGAGACTCCACCTTAGGAGAAGCCGGTTTCAAGCACTCCTGCTGACCTTGTGTGGTGAGAGGTGGAGGAGTCAGACGGCTGTCACTTTGCTGAATTTGTGCATTAGCAGCTGGTGAATCATCATCCTGCTGGTCTTGTGTGCTGGGTGGAACAGCAGAAGAGATGATGCCCTGAGGAGCAGCTGTTGAACCACTGTTGAGACAATTTATAACTAAGCTTGAGATACTAATGTTAAATGTACAAATGTATAAATACTAACGTTCTTAGTTTCCGAACAGCAGTTTGATTATTAGCTAGTTAACTAGTTTTCTTCATTGGCACATTCTGCTTTTCCTTGTTTCACCTCAGCCATATGGATCTGAGATGGTGACTTGTCTGTCCTGTCGGATTTGACTCCAAATTCCTTCTCTTGAACCATAATCATATTCTGGGGAAAAGCAGAGGAGGTAGGCAGGGAAGGAGGAGCAGCAAGGGAGGAGATCAAAACTGCAGTATCACTGGTTTTAAACATTAGTAACTTTTGTGTAAGTTGTTACTAACGTACTGCACAACAGGATTTTCTCTTGATCCCTCTCTGTACTTCATCGCTGGGAGGTGAACTAAAGGAGGAACTGTGAGGCTGTGAGCACTTTTAAATTTTCCTAATTTTCTTACAGAGAAAACTTGTGTTATTGAGTTAAAGGAATCACCACCGTTATCTCAAGGATGATTACTTACAAGGTGTCTAAATGCTTTTACAGTGAGGAAATTCTGAAAGGTCTAAACCGAATTAATTATAAATGCATTCTAATAAGCATCCATTCAAGAGAGACTATGTAGGCAATATTTGCATTGGTTTCAATAGATATTGGACTGAATTTTACATGAGCTTTTATCAAAACCAGACATAAACACAATTTTAAGATATCAAGTTTAAATTGAAAGGTCTATAGGCAGTATTAAAAAACAACCCAGAATCGTTATAGTGCTCGCTCAAGATCCTCCTGTCAAGGCTTCAGGAATACTGTGTCTGTGTAGCCTGAGAAGACTCAGGAATTAGCAAAATTTATGGATTCATCTGATAAAGATTTTAAATGTAAAATAATTAAGATTTAATACTTTCAAAGAAGACAGAGACTGTATTTCTATGCTGTTATTTTTACCACCTGTGTCAAGGACAAGGAAAAATACTACAGTGAATCAATGCACACTGTATGTTACAAATACAGAGGACCTTTGTTTTACAAAGCCTTCGCATCTCTAGGAGAAAAGCATTAACACAGTAAACTGTATTTTAGCGGGGCTGGTGCATTTGTTTATTGTTTCCAGACGGGAAAACCTGTGTATGTGGATTCTTCCAATAGATACTATCTGAGTATTTCTCAAGTAGTAATTCATAGACTGCTGGTGGTCCGTGGAGTACTTCCAGGTGGCTTAGAGAGGCATTTTAGTAGCAAAGCACTGCTACATTTCAAACAATTGTGTTGTAAATAGTAAAATATCTTGGGGTGTTTTGGGTTTTTTTTTGGTTATGAAGTGTCTTACAGTTACAAATACAAATTTTAAAACATGCACGAGATAACTAAACTAGGGAGAAGTAAAATATTACTTCAGTATGGAAAGTCTAAGTAAGGAGAAATCTGTTCTCCCTGTCTCACTGATTTTAATCTTGTCCTGTTCCTTGTTAATCTCTTATCCTATTCCTGAGCAGAGGCTGAGAGAGCTGAGACTGTTTAGCTTCAAGAAGGCTCAATATCTGTGTGTATTAATACCTGATGGGAGAGTGTAAAGAAGATGGAGCCTCTTATCAGTGGTGCCCAGTGGCAGGACCAGACTTAATGGGCAGAAACCAAAACACAGGAGGTTCTAACTGAACATCAGGAAACACTTTTTTGCTGTGAGGTGATTGAGCAGTGGCACAGGTTGCCCAGAGAGATTGTGGAATCTCCATCCTTGGAGATACTCAACCGAACTGTACGTGGCTCTCAGCAAGCTGGTCTAGGTGACTCTGAGCAGTGGGGGCTGCAGTAGCCAACCTACAGAGGCTCCTCTCTACCTCAACTTTTCTGTGATATGTATGTTTAGTACATATGGAAACAGTACTATGCAAATAGCTGACTTCACTGACGACAGGGGTGAGTTCAGCAATTTTAGACTAGTCTTGTTCACTTCCTCTGCCCCAATAACTTAGACTCTTCTGGCGGTAAAAGATTGCAAATTTAGCTCTCCCACAGTACTTTTATCAGTAGGTGCAAAAGAGGTGTGATTTTCCTTGTCTTTACTTGTGGGTTAATTGAGGCACAGCAGGTGACATGAAAATGGAATTGACTGGTCTCTGGAGAGCCTACAGAGAATAATAAGAAAAGTAAATAATGCCAAATCTACAATAGACATATTGATCAAAGTAACTCCATGTGTTTACTTCTATATTCTCGTCCTGTAATTTAATAGCCTTTATTGTGCTGCTTTGTCTAGAACAAACAACTTTTTTGAGGGCTGTAATGTTAAACTGGACTGCTTCTGTCTTACGTACTTTTTGTACAAGTTCACAGAAATACTTACCTACTTGGCAATGCATATGTGAACACATATCTTCGTGGTAATTTGAAGGTTGCTTTTAGATTTTGTTACCACAGGGTAATATATGGAAATATACACTGCAGGCTATAAGTTTTTTTTAAAGACTTACCAAAAGCTATGCTTCTGAAAAGCACCTGAGTTAAGATCTTTGCTTAAAATTGGCTTCTTGGTGCAATTGTTCAGTTTTTGTCCCATCATTCGCCTAATTAAAGCATCATCTGTGTTTGGAAACAACTGTTTTGTGATTCCTGCAAAATAAAGAGATGATATATATGAGGCCTCCAAATCAGGGGAACCACAGATGCATGATCTAAATTGCATTTTTTTCGCATCTTTGAAATTTCCTGCTACTTCAGCTTCAGCTCTAGTTCCTTCGCTGTCTTCATGCACTACTTCATAGATTTTGCATGTGCCAGCTCTTGTTCTTCTCTGTGTCTTCCGTATTGCTGTGCCTGCTCTTGGCAGACTCAAAGGGAACACCAGGGCCACAAAGGCTTCCTGGAGCGAGTGGTTTGTGTTTGCTCATCCTCTCTCCCTTTATTCTGTTCCTGATCAGAGAGTCCTATTCCTATCGTCATCAGTCCCCATCCCTCGGAACCTTACAGGTTTTGTTCATTAATTTTCATTTGCAGGTGTCTGTCTACTACCCTGAAAATGTCTCTCTGTTTTGTCAGGCTGACTTTTTTCAATGCAATACTAACAGGACTCAACATCAGGAATGCAATTCCTCCTCCTCTCTTCTCCATCATCTTCCCTTCCTTTGATTTTTTCCCCTTTCATTTCATTTTGAAGTCCTACAGTTTCCATCTTCATTAAATAATCTTATCTACTAACTAATTTTCTACAGTCCTAGAACTCCCAGATTTCCTTCTTATTTTTCTTTTTCTCTTGCGTAATGTTGACACTTTTCTGTTTGAATCCAGGAGTGCTCTTGTTTCCCTTAACAAACTTTTTTGACTTCTCTACAGACTCCCCTTTGTCACTGAATTCTCCACAGCATGCTGTATTCAATGTCCTGATTATCTCCTCTGCTTCCTTTTTCAGTTTTGTCTAGACCCTTCCCCAGAATCCACCTTTAGAAAAGTCAATAGTATCTATTCCCATCCTGTGAAATGTTTTTTCATTTTGTTCTGAACTGTTTCATCTTACCCTCTCTAAATATATTCTCACCATCTTACACACTC